TATCTCCAGTAATAGAATCAACAGAGTATATTTTATCAAAGCTCATAGTAATCAAATATGGCTTTGGATAAAGATCTAAATAAATAATAAAAAAACTATAAATAACAATGATGAGAGTGGATTAGAAAAATGCAAATTTTTATAGAATTTTTATCATAATATTTTGTGAAAGACCAGAATAAGTATTTTTAGAAAGAATTTTTCACTGTAGAAATATTACTAATAACTGAAATTAGATTGCCTGCACAACTTCCACCTTTTTTTTTTGAATATTGTCTTTGGTGCTATGAACAAGAAACTATGAACATTTGTCAAATATAAAGATTATACCTTTGTAAAAACACATTTCTGTTTGCATTTGCATCATTTCTTTGTTGTATTGTTTTACTTCCTTGCATGCCGTTGTGTTATCGTCATTGCCATTTTATCAACGCAAGTTTCCATCCATTCTTTTACGTTGTCTTTTAATGTCTCCAATCTTTTCTTGCAGATTGATATGTCGTCATTACCATTTACTATTTGGCCACTAATAGACAGGATTGTGAGAGTCCCAAGAAACGCTTTTGTTGAGCTTGATATCATCTTTAGTTTCTATTTATTAGAAGGTGGACGATTACTAATTTCTTTAAAGCTTTTGTAGTAAAACATTACTTTATTTATGAAAGGCTTGTCATCAATATAATCATATAATCATTTGTTTTTAAATTTTTTTGGTATATAAATCAAGTATTGATTTCTATAATAATGTAACATTTTAACTTCCTTCTCCAAAAAGTATTTTCACGTTTGCTTTCAGATAATTTATGATGATTGGATATTGTTGCAATAGATTAGACAAAGTATTCATTATAAAGACTCATGTTTACAACAATTCATATAATTAGAGTTCATCCGCCTAGAACGTGTTTTGAATAAATAGATGTAAGGTTTCTAAGAAACGAAAGCATAGAAATAATTAAAACATTTCAATGTCCACTATAAGGAAATGACGCAATAAATGAAATTCACCAAGAGCGGTTTAGAAAAAATTTAAAATGGGTTGATTTCAAATTTGCTCATGTTAACACAGTTTACCAGATGAATGGGAAACACGTATTGCTTAACTGAGCCAGTAAAGTTAAATGCCAAATAATCTGTTGCGCAGTGTTTAACAGACGCGCCGTCCTCTCTCTCTAACTACATGTCGTCTAGTTACAGAAATGGAGGCCGTTAAACAATACATGATATTCTGCTTTACAACATCTGTCAGTCGTATAAAGAAGTTCGACTCTCATAATTACATAAATTCTGAATTAAATGAAATTTATGAGTATTTTGACAGAACTGCTAAAGTAAAGAAAATCTAAAAAGCTAAATAGAGGAATGCAAATTTGCAGTATTAAAAAATTCCTATTTCTTCAAATATTTTGTTTTAGACAATTAAAAGGGTTTGCCATTTGTCAAAAATATTCTTGCCATATTGAATAATTGTAGCAAAAGAAACAAGAGACGAAAAATGTATAATTTGTTTTACATGCATTCATTGCTTTTTAAAATGACTTCTGTATTGATGTTTGATGATTATTTGCCCCATTTCAATTTGTTGAATTATATACCTCTCTTTCTTTATCATTTCCCTCAATCATAAGTCTTAGTTTTAATGTCTAATCAAATATTATTAATCAAACATGCATTAAAGTTTTAGTTTACTATCATTCTCATGTAAAAACGCAAAACACTTTGCAAATATTTTAAAATTTTTAAATGTCTATGATAGTAGGAAAACATTTTTTTGTTATCTGTATTCAGAACAAAAATACTTAATGATGGTTGCTTCAAATATTTTTGATGTAGCTACGATTTTCTCTAGCGTATCAATGGAAATATGATATAATATATTTTCAGACATTCATAAATATAAATAAGTAGAACTTTATCTTTAGTTTTGATCAATCAATTCGTTTTTGTTTTCATCATAAGGATAAATATAAAATGATAAAAAGAATTGCCAAACAGTAAAAGTTTTCTTAAGAATTTTAAGTTAGTCAAATTACTAAATGGCAGCTATGTATACATGATGCATGGCTGTGCTACACTTAACTACAGAAAATGTTTAAAAAAAACATACAATAATGTTTCATAATGCTTTAATTATTTTATAAGATAAAGATTGTGTTTTATTATCTGTTGGATTGCGTATAAGCATGACTATGATAAATGAAAGGTATGGTCTTGATAAGGAAGTGTTATCCATAAGAGCTATTGTTCTTAAATTATGTGATAGGCTCTGAATTTTAGGTTTTCTTTATGTTTTCATTACTTACCATTGAAGAGGCAATTTGGCTATCAATGAAATTTTTCTTTTGAATTCTAACGAGTTGTTTTCTATTCTTCTCAAACAGCAGCTTAGAAAAAATATAACTGAAGCAGAAACTGTCTTGTCCTAAAGTGCTAGTAATATGGGCTTTTTGAAATTTGATATCAACACAAGACAAACACTTTTCTGTGGACGGGGACTTAAATTTTGATGATTTTTAACTATATTTTTGATAAAGAGCCGTAATTGCAGAAATTTAGTGTCAGAAAAAATATGCAATTAAAATATTGTTTCAACAATTCGAAGAAATACCATTTACATTGGAAATAACAGACCAAATTATTTTAATTCCTTATAACAACACCCCTGGAAAAAATATGTTTATTTTGACGTTATTCAAATTGGGCAACTATTTCAAGTGTCTCTATAAACTAAAAGAAAAATATGCACTGCAGATGTTAGTTTCTGTTCATAGATAAAATATTATAAAGCAAAAAAGGAGTATTGTCTATAAGCAAATTTTGTTTAATTTTATAGCTCATTATAATATGATTTACCCCCATTTTACTTAACCTAACATAAAACTTTCCAAAGTACATCATATTCAAACAACGTTAGTTTCTTAGGTAAGCATTTCTATACATCGCATTTCACATGATTTTAATTTCTAATGTTTTTAACAAATTTAGTTCATTTCAACGTATTACTCCCCTTTCCTCTCTCAAGATGCGGAAAATAAGGACAAAAAAAGACAAGTTAATGGTTGCAACCCCTAACACATTTTCAGAGAAAATTCAGGACTTACATTTTCATAAGTTACAGTCCTCATACTGGTAAGCGTTTTTTTTGTTTTCACTGAATGTATAAAAGCAAAGTTTCTGCACATACTTTTATATTTTTCTATCATAAATTTTGGCGTACTACGTATGTTTATGTCTTATTGACAAAATGTGAAATCTAAGTTGTTTGGGCCCATTTCTTGTGCAATATGTATAAATGTACATCATTAGATTATACTTTTGAACAATTTTTCTGAAAATAATAATGATTTTTCTACAATTCGTTTTTAAAAATATTACATTGTCATTGAATGCAAAAACATTCTCTCAAACTTATTCAGTTTCTACAAAAAAAAACGCTTTCTGAAAAAAAATCTGCAAAGAAATGTCTCTTTTGTTACGTTGCTTTTGAGTCAGATTGTGTGACAGGGAATATTTAATACTGATTGCAAAAAAATATATAAACACCTCTTAAAAAAATTCTTTTTAATATTTAAATTATTCAACAGCTTAATTCCATTGACGTAATTATATTAGCGTGCTTTAAATTTGCATTGAAATTCTCACGAAGACACGCATATAATATTGCAGTTAAGTTGTTCATTCTCTTCTTTGAGTCACGCAACGTCAACAAGAGTTGTGAATTTTTAGGTTTGAGACGCCAGTTAGAGAGGTCATAGGACGTAGATGTGGCTCTAACACGCCTTTTTAGAGATTGTACTTTATTCATCATGTTTCTAATAAATTTTGCTTCGTCAGGTATCAATGAACCCAATTTATTCATCTTTTATGCTTTAACATCCATCCAAAAATACTTTAGAAAATTCTCTGTGCATGATACCTTATAATAATTTTTTGCATTTACGCAGCATAATAGAAACGCTTTACCTGCTGCTTTAATATTTAAATTTTAAAAATTGTTTGTGTGGGAGAATAAATTAGTTTTTTCTTCTATTTCCAAATGACTATATTTATAATTTATGGATCTCTGCAAAGTAAGAAATTTCATTATAATTTTGCTATTGTTCAACCGAATAGTTTTTGATATATTACAGAGTTATACTTTTACTAGTTGACAGAGGTCATTTTAAGAAAATATGTTGTCATGTAGCAATGTAAACTATTTGTTACAAAGAATTCGTTGCTAATGTCCTTTTTTGTGGACATTTAAATGTCACTCATTCTTTGACTTCTCTTCAAACCATGCAATCACAGATCTGACGCAGAAAAATAACTGAACACGAAGAAATCTATTTGAAAAATAAGGCCAAAACTCCTTTGTTAAAGATTGACTGTTTTTTTGGTTTCGCGTTCATACTTTGCCAGCAAAGTAAGAGATACTTCAAAGAGTGACTTACTACAAAAACCAACTTATGCAACTATCTTTATCGAGCAGCTATTAACATGCCAACAAGCTGACTAATCATAGTGATTGTTCAACAGGACAATATCATAGAGCACGACACGTCATTTAAAAACAGATGGATTTAATGAAATACTTTGTACTGCAGGTCACAAGGTGGTTTATAGTGCTGCTATCAAAAAAATTCTTCCGCCAATACCTTTATGAACATTTGAAGAATACATTACCACCGACTTTCTCTTCTACTTCCCGAAACAGTTTGAGACAAGAAATAAAGTTGATATTCTACGGAATATCTTATCTTGTATTCAATATAGATTTACTGGAGAATGTTATCGATTTTGACAAACTTTGAATAATTTATGGCTCGGAAAAGAAAATTCAAAAATGTCCCAGTATACGACATAGCAAGCATTCCTAGGGTTGATAGATCTTTAAGCCAGCTATTAGTCCATCCACTAACTGGGTGTGACACAGTCTCTTATTTTGGAGGGTGCGACAAAAGAAAACTGCATTGGATGCCAGGAAATTAATTCATCCTCAACGGACTATAGAACCAAATAATTACATCGTCAGAAGAAAACATCACAAAGCAATCTATGGACGTTATTGAGAGGTGTGTGTTGATGTTGTTTCATCGAAAGAAAAGGAAACTGATACAAACTGATTAAATATGCATGCAAAGGAAAAGTCAGTGCAAGTACTTTAAAGGCAATCTGTATTTAAACTGCGCTTTGTAATATGACTTTTATCTATGCATTTTTACGACAGCTGTACGACCAATTTCATATGAAAAATCAGTTTCCTCGTATTCACAATTTATTGATTGGAACTTTACTGAAGTGATTAGCAAATAGTTCATGTTAAATCGAGGCAGACAAAAGAACCAGTAAAATTGTCTGAATGTTCTGTTTTAAGAGCATGATACACTACTCAAGTTGAAAAAGCTAGATGTCAACAAAGTACAATATTTCTGGCAATAAACGCAGGAATTGACCAAGTGACCATTTTACACAAACTGTTATCGGTGGATAACTTCGCGAGTTTTTATTGAATTCACTCAAATACATGCTTAAAATAATCGCTGTATGTTCCTTTTTTAAAAAAAATTTAATTGGATAAATTTCAATACAATACAATGGCAAGAACTGCGAAAAACCTCATTTTTGTAATACAATCTACATATCTTTTGACGCCGCCATATTGGATAATCATGATGGCCCAACGCGCACACATATAATATGTACGTACCTATTACTACCAGAGCCCTCTATAGTATAAGAGTTGGGACATCTATTGTTATCCGTTTAGCTTACGTTGATTGGGCAATATTGATCACCTGATCAATTTCCGCCATTTTGGTTCCTAGTTTTGAAATTTTAGCTAGTGTTTATATAGCAATTGCTGCTAGTAATACAGTATTTTGAGATAATATTGCGTTTTTTTATGGATAAGTGTGTAATACTGATAGTTGAAGGCTACTAAATGTCATTACATATCGCATAAGTCGAGGATTACGAAAAAAATGAAAGAAATGCCTTTACGTCGAACTTACGAAATTTGATTGCGTATGGTGATTGTTGTGCTGAACTGCTTCTGATATAAGGTTCAATTAACTGACTCAAGTAGAGAAACATTTTTGGGCCAAATAACATTGCAAAGTTCGTGCTGATGCAGTTTCAATAGTTTTCTTACTCCAAAGCTTGTTTTTTAATCGAAGATGATTTCTCATTATGTTCTGAAATTGGTCAATCTACAAACCTCTCAATTCTCAGCCACTTCCATACTAAAACAACTACACCAAATCACAGAAACTCTTATGATTTTCCATGTTGTATTTTTAGTTCATCATTTAAAATGAAGTAATTATAATTAGGATATTCACTGAAACAGCTGAGTACAATATATTTTTGGTATTGAATTGTACAAATGTACCCTACTTCTGTAGCTCAAAGTAGAACATTACTTCTTCTAGACTTGTCGATGATATTTTAATTGTAGGTTTTGGTTTATAAGATCACAGAGGCATATCTCCATAATTTCAGCTATTTGGGCTTTTTAATGTATATTACAACTGTTGCTGCCTTTCTCATATATATTAAAATATTGCCGGCTTTCTGATATATATTTAGGTGCTGCTAGCTTTTTGATATATATATTTCACTGGCAATACAAGGCATAGAATTTGAACAAACGGGGCTGAGCTCCCTCCAACACACCCCTGTTTGATCATTAAACACATATAGAAGTTTTGTCATTCCTCAACCAATAAATTTAACTCTTTGCTAAATTAAAGATTGCATCAGACTCATATGCTGTATAAAAGACTACAAACATTAGCATTTGTAGCAAACAGACTGTTCTTCAACAACAGAAATGTTTCATATTATAGAAATAATATATTCATTTTAAAGAAATGCTTCACCAAAATTTTCAGCAGAATCCCTAACAAACTTTATTAGAAATAAACTTTAATACTTTATAAAGTGATAAAGGCGAAATAACTTCATATAAAGGAATAAAACGTTTAAGGTCAAATGCATCTTGGTCAAATCATTGCATATTTCAATAACTAAAAAGTAAAAAAGTCTGTCATTTTCTGCTGAGCAAGAAAACTTTGTGATCTTTCAGAATAAAAAATATCATGCTTGGATTAAATTGGGGGCATAAATCACTCACTACCATTAAATTGTTACAAATCTTGAACACAAATCTCTCCGGACCAAATCTGCATGATTACTATGATTCGAAGTTTTGAACAAAGTCTTGTCCAAGTATTTGATAACACTGATGCCAGGATAACATTGCCGCTTGCCACCAAGCTTAAAGATCTTGAAAACTTGTTACAGAGTCGGAACATAAGTCGAGAAAACACGTTCACGTACGAAAAATACTTCTTACAATGGGTCACGATCAATTTGAAGCACGAACTAGTAAACCGCAAACGAAGCTCAAACCAATGAAATTAAATCAGGTCTGCCGCAAATCGTCAAAAAGACGCAAAGAGCTTGCTATTATTCCTAATATATTTGATACTACCATGGAATAAGCTTAAATTGCTTTCTTCTTTTGCATATAAACCCAATTTCCAATAGTATTATTATAGTTTCACTTTGCAAGTAGGAACCAAAATGGCGGCTCCGCGCTCGCCCCAGACCGTTTGTCCCAACTCTTATACTATAGAGGGCTCTGATTACTACTACATCTATTGTAAAAATAGATATTTTAATATGGCGCAAAGCTCAAATTTAAACGCGGTAAACAATTACAGACTTGCATTGTAATGTTATATCGCTAGCTAAGCAAAGAAAATAAAAAATTGAACATGCTTTGTACATTTTAATTAGTCTGAGGCAACGTATTTTAAAAATCTCTGTTGTAAAAGCACTTCTACTTTGTTTTGAAAAAATACAGCAACCCTTATTCAACGTTGATTGTTATTCTTTCAATAATATTACACGACGCCTTTACTTTATCGCGTTCCAGACTTTGTTGTGAAGCAAAACGCGAGCGCCAAATTGTATTCGAGAAAATGCAAAATTCAACGCTTGAAACAGGCCTTATTATGCGATACCCGAAGTTACTAAAAGATGTTACATACAACCACATTCCACATAGTGATTAGCCGCTGACCGTGCGAGTACGGGCAGATTAAGAAAAAAGGTACGTTGCGTACATATGGTTTTAATTTCAAAAAGACAAAATACGATTAAGAAGTTTTCAATTTAGCTAGTGATAATATTCTAATTGAAGAGTCAAGCACAATCCTTAATTAACATAATCCTAATCACTATACATAAATGTAAAAGTTGCTTTTTATCGAGGAGATAAAGTGAATTTAACTGAATGAAAATGAACTATTAGTTTGAAAAATTTACGATAATCGTAAAACAGACGGAAATGAGAGCAAAGATGAGCCTAACGTCCATGGTCCTAGCTTTATACTGTTCGATCACTAATGTTTTTCTTGTATTCTCCTACCTCCATGGTCCTAGCATTATACTGCTCGATCACTAATGTTTTACTTGTTTTCTCCTACCTCCATGGTCCTAGCTTTATACTGTTCGATCACTAATATTTTACTTGTATTCTCCTACCTCCATGGTCCTAGCTTTATACTGTTCGATCACTAATGTTTTACTTGTATTCTCCTACCTCCATGGTCCTAGCTTTATGCTGTTCGATCACTAATATTTTACTTGTATTCTCTTACCTCCATGGTCGTAGCTTTATACTGTTCGATCACTAATGTTTTACTTGTATTCTCCTATCTCCATTGTCCTAGCTTTATACTGTTCGATCACTAATGTTTTACTTCTATTCTCTTACTACCTCCACCGTTTTTATACCGGCTGACCTTTATTGTCATATTTCTACTCTCATCTGTCAAAAATCATTTGACTAGCAAACACACAACTTGAATAAAAATTTTTGATATATTCATAAATATACCATATAATACTTGAAAACCATATTTAGGGTTGATACAGTTTGAAAAAAAGGCGTATACAGTCAAGAAACTTAGACACTTCTCAAAATTTAAGACCTCTTGTAAGTGAAGACACATTTACGACCTTTCCTTAGCGGAGGTGAATACCAAAACAACCTTCACAAACAACATTATAAGCTGTTGTATGCGGTTGCACTTGGTCTATTTTCAGTCAAATTAGTAATTATCTCGACCAATTGACATATTATAGTATATAAATAGATGTTGTTTTGTAATGCATGTAAATTCCTTCGTCTTCTTCATTTTTCTTCATGAACCACTATAGTTTCTTCTCCGGGCTAGCGCATTTGTGTTCCTCAAAGAAAAGTTTTTCATGTCATGTGAACTATAAGCATTGTGTCTATACAATGATAATATACATGATGAATTTGTTGTTTCATAAAGTCTATGGACTCAAACGTTTCACTGTACAGATGTTAGACTTTTCAGTCGTTATCAAGCATACAATCATATTTCAAAACATTGTTGAAACAATCATATTTAAACTTTTTTTATGATTTTGTAATAATCCACCAGCATCTCATAAGCGGACACCTCCGACAAAAACACACCAAGTCATGGTCTAAAGGGTGTCTTTTTACGGTAAGTTTGATTGCATTCATTGAATTTAAAAATGCTTTTGAAAAACGTCTATGCCTGTATAGAGTAAAGAATGTTCCGAATTTTCTTCCTTGATGTTTTCCATCGTTACAAACATTTGCTGGCACGGATGAAACTATCAAACACAACAGTGGTCATTTTACGGGCGTGATTAACACTATCGTACTACGTCATTGCATTGAATATTCAATTTCATTACATGTTATTTAGCTATGATATGATTTCTTTTGCACGAAATTTTTAAAACATCCATGGAAAATTTTTGTTCGTTGTTGTTGTTACAACACACAATACACAGTTGAAATCTCGTTTTAAAAAGCACCTACCTCGATTAAGCTTGTCTCCCGAATATGCGCCGCATCTAAAGTAGCAAATATTTGAAGAGCGCCGCAGTTTCTTATCCCCGTAAATACGGTAATTGAGTTGGTTGATTGAGATGAGATCAGTTTTTATGGTAAAATACAAACTTGACTGCAAACGAATCATTGTATGCATTGTTGGTATTATCTAACTGTGGGTGAAAAGTGATGACGATAAAAGTTCTTTGACTTGTGCTATAAATATTTTTAATAAAAATTATAAATATTTAAAGTAAAATAATATTGATAGTAGGTCAAATGTAAACACCTAACTAAAGATAACCTTAATGTCAGTGAAGTTATAAATAGCTCACCTGTGTATTATATATATATATATATATACAAATATAACAGCGCCAACAAAAGATGCAACCTATGCCTGAAAGAAAAACTCTTCATCACCTACCAACCACAACTATCATCACTCAACAAACGTAACGAACTTATCTCTTCTTGTCGCCATAGACACAAAGCACTTTTATGTAATTTGTAATCGTACACTCAATATATTATGTAATTCTATCTCAATTTTTAA